CATTAGAGTGTAAGCTCCTCTGTACAGAGACTGATGTGACTGTGGGGGGGAGGGGACATTAGAGTGTAAGCTCCTCTGTACAGAGACTGATGTGACTGTGGGGGGGGAGGGGACATTAGAGTGTAAGTTCTTCTGTACAGAGACTGATGTGACTGTGGGGGAGGGGACATTAGAGTGTAAGCTCCTCTGTTCAGAGACTGATGTGACTGTGGAGGGGGAGGGGACATTAGAGTGTAAGCTCCTCTGTACAGGGACTGATGTGATTGGCTCAGTGTTCTCTGTACAGCGCTGTGGTATATGTCAGAGATATATAAATAACATACGGCAGTCATATCGCTCGCTCTCGGCCGGGACGCAGGTCGCTCTGCCAGGCAATCGCGCACAATGTCAATAAGAGGAACGCGCTGAAAACCAAATATTGATCTTGCGCTGCAATTGGCTGATGAAGTGATGCACTCGGTGCAAATACATCTTCAGATTGACATCTCAGTCCATAGCGATGACTTCCGCTCCGGCGGCCTGTGGTACCCGTCATGTTCGTCCTTGCTTCAGCATTGGCAAGTTACAAAGGGCACATCAGGTGTCTGGACCTTTCACTGGCCGCCTGCTTGTTCCAGGACAGATCTGCAGCCAGTAGTATCCCCCTCTAGTCACTAACAGGAATGATTAGAAGTCTTGGTGACAACAATCCAATGTTGTGACACAGACACATCCTCTTGTCCTCCCGATGTGGCCGCCACCTACCTCACATTGTGACTGAGCAATCTGCAGATCTCAGGAGGCTACAGTATCATGTGATAAGAGGATGCAGTGCTGCCGGGAAGCACTCTGAAAAGCCTGCTCAGTGTTCCAGCAACAGATCACATAGATCCCACAGGAATGGACAGGACAGACTGACTTGAACACACTTTCAGTGTTGCCTGGATGGTGTTGGCTCTTTAGTGTTCATACAGAGATTGCAGGTCTGGCAATCTTGACCCATGACCTTCCCCCACTCCCCACCCCCCCGGGGGTCCCCAGTCTGTTACTGATCCCCTCATGACTTGCTTCCATTGTATAGTGTTCAGGAATGGGGAGAATTCCTCATTTTATAACCCAACAGAACAAACATCCGGCTCTGCACCTCCCGGGGTAAAGGG